ACTGATTTAATCTGACTGGATGATCTGGTGAACTAGAAGGGGCCTTGAGATGACGTGTCGTGAATCGGCTCTATAGAAATAAACTGAATTGACTTAATTGCCTTTAAAGCCTCTCCTTTGATTTTTTTCATCATTTTGTTGAAGCATTGTTAAAAGCAATCATTTTCATATGATTTATATAGATTATTACTTTTGTCAAATTAAAATTTTTTGTGATAATAATGGGTTTTTCTTTCATTTAATGTGGGGTATCAACAATTTTTGTCCAAGCGTGTAAAACTGTTTGCTTTAAAGTAGCGCTTTTGAGAATGTGAGGCGTTCCTTCAACCCTATATTTATAAAGAGGGCAGCCATGCCTTCAGATTATGAGACGCACAATGCATCGCCACTCCCTCCATTAGCAATGTTTCCATTGATTTGCTCATAACAGTTTCATTTTTGTTTAACAGAGATCAAGAATCGGCCCCACCTTAAAAAAAACAACTGACAGCACATGCGGATCTGTTCAACTAGCGTGAAAAGAAAAGGTATTTGTATCAACTTTTAAAAAACCGGTATTGCTTTGAATAAATTGTTCCTAGTTTTGTCCAAAGCTGCTTAATTTATTAAAAAAATACATACATTGATTCACCAAATTATGTAATATGTTGTGTTTTTCTTCAAATATATAGAATAAAAATTTGCTACAATTATAAGCAGCTTTGAAAAAACTAGTAGTGGATTGTGCAAATGTACTAAATAATTTCTGGTTTCTCATGGTGATACATGGGCATAATATGGGGACTTATTTCTTTAAATCTTGATGCTTGCACATTTTAGATCATAAGGAAATAGACATTTTAAAAATGGGGACATTTCTATTTTTGGGGCAAAATAAATAAAAAAATCAGGAATGAAAAGCAAGAAAATGCTGACATTTCAGTACTGATTGAGAGACCAGGAGGGTCACAGATAAAGGAATCAGAGACCAACAGCTGACAAAAAGAGTTAGGAGAAAAATTATGTTTCTATAAGTTATGCTTAAAATCAATCAACAAGGCAATTATTCATATTTTTATCTAAAATCATCTTTTTTTGTTTTTTTTGGATCATTTTTGTCAGGAAAATGACACAATTGAAGTTTTAAAGCGTTTTGTGTGTGTGTGTGTTTTCTTTTGTTGATTCCATAAACATATCAGATTTTATTTTTTTTGTGAATCTGCATGAGCTGCTATACTAATCTGCTCCACCAGAGGGCGCAAATGTACCAAATAATGCATTCATCTGCATGAGCTGTTATACCAATCTGCTCCACCAGAGGGAGCAAATGTGCCAATTGTTGTTAAACTTTATTAACTGTGAAAATGTCCAGCTTAAGGTGTACAAACCTTCTTCAGAACCTCACAGGCCTCATCCAAGCTGTAGAAAACATCCGAGTTGATCATGTTGAGAGCAGACGGGTGATGTTTGGGAGTCTCTGAAGGTACCACATAGAACTTGGTCAGGTTCTTCTCTGCAGGGACCCACAGACTCTGAGTCCACAGCTCATCTGCTTCACTTTGAGAATATGAACACACCAACACTGGATCAGTCTGCTCCAAATGGCTCAGCATCCCCTCTATGAGGGGGGAGTCCTCCGCCCGGCTTCTGAGGAAGAAGCCTTTGACCAGAGAGCCCTTCTCCTCCGGGAGGAAGGAGGACATGCTGGTCACATCAGAGCCTGCAGGCAGGTCCCTCAGCAGTTTGTCTCTGAGTTCCCAATGAAACCTCTCCCCTCTGATTCTGTCCGGGCTGCAGACAAGCAGAGAGTAGCATCTGTCCTCCTTCTGGAGTTTAGAGAAGACAGCAGGTAGAAGCGCTCCTCCTCGGAGCTTTTCTCTGATTCCGAAATAAACCGGCGCTCCATCCATCTCCACGGAGAAAACCCTGGAGGGCCACCGCTGGATGAGGGGCCTCAGGTGCCTGGCCATGTTCTGGTGTCTGCAGGGTTCTGGTCAGCTGCGCTCAGCTGAATGAAAAACGAAAACAGACCATTGGAGGGAAAAACGAAACTTAAAGCTTAAAGCTATGCAGCGCCGCCAGGGGGCAGCAGAGGGACATTTCACAGGAATCCAAAACTTAAAGAGATCTGAGATAAAAGTTGTCCTGAGATGCCCCCTGCAAAAATACTGTAAACAGCGTTTCGTTATCCTTTAACTGCTGACCTGCTGAAATTCATGCATTTAAAGGGCAATTGTGATGTGTTGCTATGGTGACAATTGAAATTCAATTTCCATACATACCTTTTTAAGACTTTGGCTTTTACAAACACCCCCTAAAATGTGTTTTTCTCTCTTAAATGCAATAGATAATCATATTTTATTGGAAAGACCAGTTTCCACTGGATATTTGACAGTTTTTCCCAATTTATGACACAGAATTTCACATCTCTCAGAAAACAGAACTAAACATTGGACACATTTTATGACTTACAAACTGATGCACATCGTTAGAAAGGATCTGCTCACATTTTTTGCTCACTTGAACAAACATAATTTTCAAAATACGATTATTTGTAATTCAGTAATGAACATCCAGGGACTGTTTAGGTTCCCTCTGAATCAGCTGTGTTGCATCTGTGTTCTAGATAGCATTTTTGGACCCTTTTTTTTTTTTACACTTAATGCGGAAGTACAGTGAGTGTTTTGCAATTTGCAGTGTCATATGCTGATTTTGATCAATGTGTGCAAATTTTGACTTGAGTTTTCTATTTTTGACACAAACTTGCAAAGCTTTGCAAATCATTTATTANCTAATCTGCTCCACCAGAGGGCGCAAATGTACCAAATAATGCATTCATCTGCATGAGCTGTTATACCAATCTGCTCCACCAGAGGGAGCAAATGTGCCAATTGTTGTTAAACTTTATTAACTGTGAAAATGTCCAGCTTAAGGTGTACAAACCTTCTTCAGAACCTCACAGGCCTCATCCAAGCTGTAGAAAACATCCGAGTTGATCATGTTGAGAGCAGACGGGTGATGTTTGGGAGTCTCTGAAGGTACCACATAGAACTTGGTCAGGTTCTTCTCTGCAGGGACCCACAGACTCTGAGTCCACAGCTCATCTGCTTCACTTTGAGAATATGAACACACCAACACTGGATCAGTCTGCTCCAAATGGCTCAGCATCCCCTCTATGAGGGGGGAGTCCTCCGCCCGGCTTCTGAGGAAGAAGCCTTTGACCAGAGAGCCCTTCTCCTCCGGGAGGAAGGAGGACATGCTGGTCACATCAGAGCCTGCAGGCAGGTCCCTCAGCAGTTTGTCTCTGAGTTCCCAATGAAACCTCTCCCCTCTGATTCTGTCCGGGCTGCAGACAAGCAGAGAGTAGCATCTGTCCTCCTTCTGGAGTTTAGAGAAGACAGCAGGTAGAAGCGCTCCTCCTCGGAGCTTTTCTCTGATTCCGAAATAAACCGGCGCTCCATCCATCTCCACGGAGAAAACCCTGGAGGGCCACCGCTGGATGAGGGGCCTCAGGTGCCTGGCCATGTTCTGGTGTCTGCAGGGTTCTGGTCAGCTGCGCTCAGCTGAATGAAAAACGAAAACAGACCATTGGAGGGAAAAACGAAACTTAAAGCTTAAAGCTATGCAGCGCCGCCAGGGGGCAGCAGAGGGACATTTCACAGGAATCCAAAACTTAAAGAGATCTGAGATAAAAGTTGTCCTGAGATGCCCCCTGCAAAAATACTGTAAACAGCGTTTCGTTATCCTTTAACTGCTGACCTGCTGAAATTCATGCATTTAAAGGGCAATTGTGATGTGTTGCTATGGTGACAATTGAAATTCAATTTCCATACATACCTTTTTAAGACTTTGGCTTTTACAAACACCCCCTAAAATGTGTTTTTCTCTCTTAAATGCAATAGATAATCATATTTTATTGGAAAGACCAGTTTCCACTGGATATTTGACAGTTTTTCCCAATTTATGACACAGAATTTCACATCTCTCAGAAAACAGAACTAAACATTGGACACATTTTATGACTTACAAACTGATGCACATCGTTAGAAAGGATCTGCTCACATTTTTTGCTCACTTGAACAAACATAATTTTCAAAATACGATTATTTGTAATTCAGTAATGAACATCCAGGGACTGTTTAGGTTCCCTCTGAATCAGCTGTGTTGCATCTGTGTTCTAGATAGCATTTTTGGACCCTTTTTTTTTTTTACACTTAATGCGGAAGTACAGTGAGTGTTTTGCAATTTGCAGTGTCATATGCTGATTTTGATCAATGTGTGCAAATTTTGACTTGAGTTTTCTATTTTTGACACAAACGTGCAAAGCTTTGCAAATCATTTATTAGATATAGTGTATAATATGTTGTGCAGTATTTTGGAGAAAGTGTGCTATTGTTATAGGAACAGTGTTTTATCAATTGAGAAAGACTGGAATTGTGCACTTGATTTAATTTCCATGCCATTTTTGTTTTTATTGCAGCTCACAGTGTTTCTGCACTGCAAAAACGATTTAGAAATAAGTAAAAATGTCTTAAATAAAGTTAATTTGAGCAGGTATATAAAATGAGTCTTTTTACTTAGAATATGATAATTAGATAATATGCAATTAAAACAAGAAAATGCAATATTCTTTCTTATTTTAAAGGAAAATGGCCCCGTCCAATGGCAAAAGGGCCCAACAAACCCCCAAATCAAAAAAAAAAGCCGTGAATTTAAAAAAAAAAGAAAAATTTTTTTGCAGTGCAGCTTGCTCCCGTTTACTCCACAGTAATAAAATGATACAATCACTTTTCCAGAAATCCAAACTGAACCTGCAGAGCCACATTGCTTCCATCCTCAGCTCATGATCTACTTTCGTTTTCGATGTATATAAACAGAAACTCAGCTGACCTGCTGCCTTTATAAAGAGCAGCTCAGCTGAACCAGTCAGTCTGCATTCACAGCTGTTCATCTCTGCCTGCATCATGCTTCTCTCCTCTCTCATGGACTCTCCCAGAGTCCTCCTGCAGCTCTGCCTCAGCACCATCCTCAGCATATTTACCAAAGTCTTTTCCAACGTTGGCTCCTGGTATGGAGGAGCCTGCAGGGGCCCAAACCCGCCGCCCTCCGATAGAAACATCCAACCGCAGAAACCTGCAGGAGAAGCTGGGACGACCCCAACCAGCGTCAACTATCATTTTACCCGCAAATGCAATTATAAATGCGGCTTTTGTTTCCACACCGCAAAGACTTCCTTCGTGCTTCCTTTGGAGGAGGCAAAGAGGGGGCTCAGACTGCTCAAAGAAGCTGGTAAAGTTGATTTATTAATTTTATTTATTTATTTATTTATTTATTTTACAAATTACAACCGTGTGTTTACAAGAGACGGTTAGGGCCTCTGGAAAAAAAAAAGTTTACTGATTTTTAAATTGTATTTCAGTATAATATGAGAAAAAAGTCAGAATCATGTATTTAGTGTCAGAATTCTGACTTTAATCTAAAAATTCGGACTTTAATCTCAGAA